TATATATATATATATATATATATATATATATATATATACACACACACACACACACACACACACACACACACACATATATATATCACCTGATAAGCTACAGTTTTATAGAAATTAAACTTTCTTTACTTGATTACTGAAAACAAAGAATATCAACACACACCAATATCTGAATTCTGCATGCATAGAAAACTTAATGTTAAAAAAAATGGTCTTCAAGTAAACTGGGTAGACTGATACTTAATGGAAGAGGAGACAAGCAATAATTGTTTGTCATAACATCTCCAATCTTCAGTTAACATAACACAGTTCTTTACATCCTTTATTGCCAGAAGCTAGTGTAATCAGCCAACCCATTCAAGCTACAGATTATGAACAGATGTCTTTCTGCTGATTTATCTCTTACAGAAGTAAAAAATTAAAAGTTGCCATGAGTAAACAATGTATACATCTATATGTATCCATAATTAAAAAAAACAAATATATTTATGCAAAACAAGTATATATCATCCAATGAATACTTGCAAAAAAATTATTTTAACTGGATATATCAAAGTTCACTAAACTTTCTGCCTCAAAACATATCCAAGTTAAATGATGAGCTAAAGAAAAACAAGTTTTCTAAACAAACTACGTACACCTGCCCTGCAGAGAATAATTGAATTTGAATAACTACATATTCTATACATCATTTCCAGAGCTTCCAATTTGGAGCAAATCATAAAGCACTCTGATCAAACTAACCACTCAATGAGAATTTAAAACCCCATTCCTACCAATGGATAAGCGTTGTGGGCTACAACCTGCCCACAAGTCTATTGGCAGTGCATGTAATGAAATTACATTATTAACATTACTTAAAAAAACACCCTACTACATGTCTGACAGTGTAGGTATCAAAGCTAGTCTAACTAAAATATATAGTCATTTTCTCACACAAATCTTGTTTACCAACAGTATTTAAAAAGTCAGCAGGTTTCTGTTCTTAGGTTAAAACATATGCAAGCTTCCTATCCATGAACTAGCTAATAGTAATGTAAGAAAAAGATGTTGGTGGGCTAAAACCCGTATCTTACTCAGGACGTGTAAGTAAAAAAAATGCAGGTCTGAAGACGATAGGTTTACAAGACAAAATAACCAATGTTCTCATTTTAATACCTAAATTATTTAAACTTCACTAGCAGATAATTAAAACAGAAAATTTATTTCTTGACACAGTATTAAGAAACAACTCGTACCATCTTTATATAAGTTTGTTTGATCTGTACATTCAAGATTGATGTCCAACTCAAGTGTTACTTAGTGCTACTTTTACATTCAGCAGGATACAACTGCATAAAAACAACAAATATCATGTGTGTGTATTAACCAAACAAATCTTCCCTATCAGCCCCTATATTCTCGCCTTCCTCAATATTACTGAAGTTCAAGAAGTGGGCGGGTCGATGGATCTCGTGGTAAAACTCCTTAGGGTTAGACAGTTGCAAGTCATACTTCATTGCTGGGTCATGTCTTACACCTGAAAAATCAAGAGAAAACATGGTCAAAAAAAAAGTTTTGAAGAGCAAAAATTCTCAAAATACAGACAGAAAAAAACATTTCAAATAAAACACACCAGTGAACCATATCACCCAATGAACTGACCCGATAACTAACCCAACATATAGCTCTTCTTTAGTTTTGTGGAGAGAACAAAATCAACAAGACTAAAATATTATGCAGTAGTTCTATTTTTAACAATTTCAATCACAATCTTTTTATAACTTAAAACTACAGAGTAAGCTCGTGATTTGTGTATGAAACATTCTTTTGGTTATACTATTTTGTATCTGAATGCACAAAATATATAAAATGTAAAGAACATGCAGTGTACTTAAAGTAATTAAAATCGTTAAGTGACCTGCTTAGACTACTCACATATAAATTAGGGATGTAGAATTCTGAACAACCTGATGGCCATGCTGGGCATCTTGATGAATTCAAAATTAGACCTAAGTGGGTTAAACCTATTCCACAACACAATACCCATCAAGCACGTCTAGTACAAAAGACATTTTGAACTGAATGTTCTGATCAAAATGACAAACTGATTGACTTATCTAGTTAGAGACACCAGATATAGTGACATTTTCAAATACCTTTCCTTTTGCAATGCATAATCTACACTCACCCCACCCCTACACATGTGGTGAAGTCGTCCACACTTCCCTACTCCTAACTGCATTTTTCATAATTTAATCCTATGAACACAGGCTCGTGTATTCTACATATTGTAACTACCATGAAAATATACATACTATAACTTTGAAAGTACTTAATGCATCTTTACAAAGTTTAGCAATCTTTTAGTAAATATTACAAAAAAAAATTTTTTTTTTTTTATTAAGTATTTTTACTAAAGATATGTTCGTAAATATAAGGAGTCAGCACGTTGACTAGTTTGAGTGTAAGGTGATTTTCATGTTAATATTATAAATATTTTTGTTAATCTTACAGTTTTTGAATTTAATTTGCATAACCTCAAAAACCTCCTAAATGAATATCAAACCTTTTTCTTCAGTAAAACTTTATATTTTATCTGTTACTTTCTCTGTATCTCTAAATGGGCTTGGTTGCTTTGACTTACCTTGTAACCACCATAAAAAAATACGAAATAAGTCTAAATCAACCATTTTTCTTTCTACAATTACTGGAGATTCTAACAGGAAACTACAACTGTTTTACTGCCCTTTGAACCATGTCTAACTAAATCCAGAGATGCAAATCACTTGGCAAACATGCACCTGAAATTACCATATTGAATGACACAATGCACCTACTACTTGCAGGCATACCTCATGAAAAACTTTCATTATATCCCATAATCTAACCCAAATCCCTTAGCTACTTGATATAAACTAAGCAATAGGAACTTTCATACTGTAGAAAGAATAACTAGAATTCTGTAGTGTAGTATTATATGTTAGTCAGTAAATTAAAAACTGTTCTTTCTATTGATTATAAATTATTTAATAGCAAACATTATTGATAATTTGTGAAAAAAGGATGTCACACACAGGCACGGTAAATGGGTCTGACTTTCTATTTTATGTATCCATAAACAGAGATGATTGAAGCTATAAAATTACTTTGCCTTATTAATATTTATACTCAAGTAAGTAGTTTACATTGAACTCAATATGCCTGTCAGGGGTGTTTAAAAACAAAGGATCAGCAAAATGTAGTGAACAAATGTCATTAAATTTTTAAAATTAAGAAATTAAAACCTATATAATATTAAACTGTTATTTATTATCTATGTTTCAATGCCAAGTTTATTTGAATACGTTGAAAATACAGTAGCTTTTTTAAATTTTGAATCTAACTCTCTAAAAGGTCATGACATGCACACTTTGATCTACTCGTAGTAGAGAGAGAGGGTTAATGAAGATTAAAATGCTTCCCATAAATACACATACATTACTCTTTTAATTATATAGATAATAAGTTCAGAGAAAAGCAACAAAAAACAATATTTATTTACTTATTTATTTCAGAAAACTAAGGAATTTTATTTTTTGTGGGAAGGGGACTTAATTTTTTTGTGGGGAACTATTGTAATTATAGCATGGATCTCAACTAAAACATTCAATATATCATTTAACACTGGTATTTCTATACAAGCTTACACCTTAAATTAATATTAAAGTTAACTCAGCAACAACTACTACAGAGATGCATCTTTCACATTTGTACAAAGGTAAGGCATTTACCCATGAAGTTGTAGTTCCAAGAGTCTTGGTTAGGGACCATGAAAAAGCCCAAGAAACGATCAGACAGCAAAATTTGCATTTTCTCATAATGGGAAGGGAGATAACCCTTAGGATTATTTCCCCTGTCGGTATTCTGTCTTCCCCATTCATATCCACTAGGTGTTAACTTGTATGCTGTCAAAGAGCAGGAACCAGGCGTGAAGCTGGTAACAGAACAAAAAACAAAAATTAGTTTAATCGCATTATTTTCAATAAGAATAAACATAAAACAAAACGGTAAAAAAATATATATTCTTCTATAAAATGGAACTTTTTAAATCAAAGTATCATTGCACAACTTTTTGGATTTAATGTGTATAAACAACAAGTTTTTGCTTCAGCTAATGTTTAGTGAGTTGAATTCAGTCCTAACCTTTCTTTGAACAATTCACTTTGAAAAAAATTGTGTTGTGTCACTCTTCATTTTCAAAGTATTTTTATCATCTAATAAACTGGTATCAGAGATCACTACGACATAGACTATTAAACTTGCATCACTATACATATATACCTGCAGGTGATGACTATAGTTCTCTCACCATCCCACTGGGGATTGTCAGCCATAACTTTGGCATGAGTTGTAATGTCCTGGGGAGACAACTGTGGAAGTTCATTAGGCTGAGTGTGGATCCATCCTAGAGGTTCCATCTCCTTCAGGTACTCATGCTGGGGAAGAACACTTGGAAGGTGAACTGTCTGGTGGGTGCCCCACTGGGGTGGCATCACAATGCATCTTATTTCTTTTACTTGAGGGTTATCTGAAGGACTGACACCATACAGGTAGCCTGCAATCTAAATTGGACAAATGTATTCACATCTGGTCACAAGAACCCTAACATTTCTCATATATCTTAAAATGTTGATATCCACAGGTAACTTCTTGTAAGTACTAAAATCTACTTCTGAGTATAACAACTAACTTGAGATTTCAGTTATAAGCTATTATCAAATTGACTACAAGAAAAAGTTCTGAAACTAGTATACAAGTAACAGCCAAATATTCGAACTGAAAAACATCTATGTGAAACAAGATATTTACTCGAGCCTGACACTTGATTTAAACATCAAACACCTTATATTAAAGTCACTTGCATCACACACATCATACCTGAGTACGAAGATCCGAAATGATGATGAACTTTTTAAGAACATTTTTGGGTAGAATGTAGGTATATCCGGTCTCCTTGATATCGTCTGATGAAACATAAATATGATTGGTACGAAGGTGGAGGTTTGTTGCAGAAATAGCTCGTACTCGCCACTCTGTTTTAGAGCTGAAGGTTTGAGTCTCATAATTGCTGCAAAAACCCAATGGAAATATTTTATAACTTGTACACTAACTCCAAAATTAAATGTTACTATCTTTAAAGTTCTCTACAATGTAAAGTCACTATTGCTCAATATTTTAACAGTGGTTGCACTTCTGGACTCAGTAAAACAAATTTACCTGGTTGTTGAAGTAATGATCTCGTCACCATGTTTGTTGACTGTACGTGTGGTAGTGGCTGTGAGTTGAGACTGCTCTTTAGTCTGCTTCTCAATCTCAGCAATCTGTTGTCGCTGTGCTGATGGAGCTGAAATTTCCATACCCAGGATGATATCTCTGACTTCAGATTGTGTCAGGGAAGCTACATTTACACTGCAACACAGAAAATCAGTCAATAAACAATTTCAAATTGTTTCAATATCTAAATATTTTATTTTATAAATAATTCATGTTGCATGTTTCTTTATATATAGAAAACTGAACAATAAATAAGCATAAGCAAATATAAAATTTGTTCATTTCTAAGCACACATAATTTATGGTATTCCGATAAATTTATTGTTCGAATGTTACAATAATGGAAGCTTCAGAGTGACAGTGGCTTGAGATAACATGAAACACAACATAATTAACAAACTTTAGCTTCTTGGTTTTCAATTTTGAAAATCTGCCATGCTTTAACTTGTTCATTTATTAATATTTAAGTGTAAAATAATTTTAAAATATCTTATTTAAAGTTAAATGAAAACATAATATTTGATCATGTGTTATATTTAAAAACCAATAAGGGGTGCATTTTTGTAAAAATTACAAATAATATAAAAACTTGGACCAATGGATTTCCATCATCTATACAACACTAGTTGCATGACAGAATTTTCTTTCCCTTCTCCTTGCACAGAAGCTGGTGGTTAGTTTTCATACATCACTGTTAATAACAAATGTCACACAAGGTCAACTTTTATATTTATTGCTATTATAGATTAGTTTCACACCAGCATTTGTCCCATACATTAGCAACAAATCTCAATTAAAGTTAGGTAAGAGTTATTAAAATTCCCTAGTCATTTCAGTTTCCAGTTCAAAACTGTTATATAACATAACACTAACCACCCTTAATTCAGAAATTTTTCTGTGCGAAAATACTGGAGCAAAGTTTTAAATTTGCTAGCAGCTTGAGTTTTAAATGTATGTACAATTCCTTAATTTGAAATTAATAATGGTTACTTGAATGCTAAATATTGACTCGAGTTAAGGAGTATTCATTTATAGACTATTATTTAAAACCAGTGTATGAAAAAAGGTAGATTGTTTTCAAGTTGGGGAATCATCAGGTTATGGTTACATACTAGCTTATAACACTGGCCAAAGCACATATTTTTCTCCCTCCAATTAGTCCTTTTGCTGCACGTTTGTCAGTGCACACTCCACGTAATGTGGTTTTGTCCCTAATTTCAAACCACCTACCACAGGGAAGCAGCCAGTCAGCAGCAGCCTACTACCACGTTTTTTAGATATTTTATTTTTATGAAATTTATTTATTTTACTTTACTTAAATATTTATTATTACAATTGTTTTTTCTAAATTTCTATTTAAATAAGAAGGGATTGAAGTGGAGATCAAAAGACTAAAACAACAGGACAGACAACTGCAAGCCCAGCCTAGCATCAGCAACCAGATATATAATTGTGTAAACTAAGCAAATTAATACAATTATTTTATTCTCAAAATAACTCAAGAATAATTAGAATATTTATAAAAAATTAATAATGTTAATATTTTAAACTTCATTAATTGGAAACAAAAGCTATAAAGACTTATCTCAGTAAGCCAAATAAAAAAGAAGTGTTATGAGATTTAAGCTATTTAGACTAAGCATTTGTGTTTGTGTTATAATTTGTAGTCATTCTAGAACAAAGAAAAGGCATAATTTGTATTTATTTCCTAATTTTTTTATGATCATTATGAGGTCAGTCAAATCGACCAAACCCACATACAGATAAAATAGTTTTTTTTCTAAAAAAAAGCATTTGATAATTATCTGGAGGTTATAAAGATTTTGCATGTGAAATTTGAAAATTTTCTGATGCATAAAAGTATTTTTAATCTTAGAATCAAAATTACTTTGTATGTTGGATAGTCAAAACATGAGAAAAACATTACTTAAAAAATCTTAAAAATTAATTTTAAAAAAATCTGATATTTTGCATATGAAAGCCTTGTACTGTTTACTGATAACATGCAACATTTTACGAAGATACGCTTACTAATTTAAAAGTTATAGCATGAAATCTATAACAAGCACAAAATGGTTACAAGTGCTGAGAAAATCCTACTACTTCCAGACTACTGTTGTATCACTGACAACATTTGATTTTTCCTGTTCACGTGTAAATACTCAACCAAATTGTATGAACCTTAGAACAAACGTTCTAAATAGCATCTAGTATTAGGTTAAAAAATTTACACAACTTGATTTTGTTGTTTTTATACTGTGAAATTTCAAAAATCTACTTTGAACAAATTTCTCTCTTGTTTTAGAATTTCAGTTTTTTTTAATCATATTAACATTTCAAATTGATTGATATTCATTAATACGTTTATTTTGCCAGTTATAGTAGTTACCACTACTGGCTATAAAAAAACATCATGGAAGCTTGACATATTTAACAGTGACCTTGGACCTAACCTTTCAAAATGGTGATAGGTAACAACAGGTTATGATATTTTTGCTCATATCAGTTTACATATAATAAATATACTTTATTTTCAATAAATTATAATTTATTTGTTTGAATATAAACTTACCAATAATATTCAGCATTAAGAATTGGGGTCAACTGTGTCACCACAATATTCAAATATTTTGCTATTGCTTATCATACTCCCTGAATCTAATAAGGCATACTTGATGTCTTTTCATAACTCGTGAGCAGATACGACTTAACACAAAATGCTGGTTTGTCTAAAGGAACTATATAAAAATTTTCCTAGGTCATCTTAACTTCCCACAACATTACTTGTTCTTCTCTGTGTAAGCTAGGTTCTGTCATTTTCTTACAAAACCATATATTACTACTCACACTACTTTATTCGATCTACACTGTCATAACCAGTTTCAAATCTAATAGTATTTACATTTTACTTGTAGGTATTTTGAAAGTACTAGTTGTTCATTACCTGCTGTGAGGTTATAAAAGAGTGGGAGCTGAAAAGCTATACTAATAAAACTCAGAGAAGAATTTGTAAGAAATAAAACATTGAATTGTGTTCTCAAGAGATGATAGCTGCTTATAAAATACAAACCTATGCTTTGGGTTTAGCAGAAAAATTAACAAAAAATGGTCTATAAGTGCATTGTTTACAGACGAGACTCCTCCAAGATGTGCAATTTGCAAGTTTGAACATTTTTTTCATTTGTCTTTGCAAATTACATGAAATAAATATCACAAAATGATAAGTCAATTCTAAAACATTTTTGAGAAAATATTTATTGAAATAAAGTTAAAATTTATTTAAATTTTGAAATCTGATATGGATGTGCCCACTGAACACCTGAAAGATGGTCACCAGCCTGGAAAGGGTCAATATTCCAAATCTGCTAAGTAACTAGTTACTTCTGTGCATAAACCTCAAAGGGTAAATAAAGTAATACTGAGGCCTGTTTTTGTTTTTTTACAATATCATTTGAGCCATTGCACAACTACAAGTTCATGCAAGTTTAAATCCCTACCAAGATGACAGGTTTCTGTACATAAACACTGTGGAAATGTAACTGTTCCATTACTATAGGTCACCACTATTGTTCACACTGATAAATCTTGTAACAAAAAACTAGTGCACTAAATTAATGCCAACAAAACTAAAGTACACACACACCAATTTAATTATTACATCTAAAGTTTATGTAATGTAATTTCAGTGAATAAGTGGTTCATTGACAAGAGGGTTGATGATGCTGATTCAAAGTTTACCAAAAGTTCTGTTCCAGGATCATTAGTCAAGACATGTCACAAAAAATAGAACATTTTACCTATAAAACATTTAATGTTCAGTTTGAATAACTAAAAAAATATAAAACACCCAACTGACAAAACCTTCAGTACGTCCATCCCATAGTAATGTAATAGTACTTACTCTATAGGATAGTTAGAGCCTACTTATTTCAAATACTCACTTGTTCTTCTTGCCATAGTCAGCAAGAATCAAGTCCTTCAGTTGTACTTCCACTTTGATCCACTCCTCATCAGACAGCGACGGCCAAATATGATGAGATTCAGTGATAGTGGTTTTATCAGGCTTCAAGATAACCTTGGTTCTTTCATTGTTCACATGCAAAGCACGTAAGATCAGGATCAGTCGAGAGAAGGCCTACAAGATAGCATGTATGATAAACAGATTCTACTGAAAAACAGACTTGCAACATGTATAATAAACAGATTCTACTGAAAAACAGACTTGCAACATGTATAAAAAACAGATTCCATTGAAATAAAAAGCTTCATTTGACAGTAATGAGTATTACATGAATTCAGACTTTAACATAACCCTGGATCTGAAGAATTGTACAATTTATCTTCTTTTTTTTAGCTTTAGCCATGATTTTATATACTTCTTGCTTTTCATATATTGCACTCCTAACATTTTTGCTCAAGAAATAAAAAATAATGGGCTTGAATTATTCTACCTCGGCTACTAAATTTGCTATAACAATAGACACTCAACACTTGCTCCAACCAGATGTATATTATATGTTTTTTTTATAAATTTGCTATAACAATAGACACTCAACACTTGCTCCAACCAGATGTATATTGTTTTTTTATAAATTTGCTATACCAATAGACACTCAACACTTGCTACAACCAGATGTATATTGTTTTTTTTTATAAATTTGCTATAACAATAGACACTCAACACTTGCTCCAACCAGATGTATATT